CATGGCTGGCTGGGGAATTCTGAGAGTTGAAGTCCACTCATCTTAAAGTGGCCAAGTTTGGACAACACTGACTTAAAGGAAATATGCTCTCACTAACTGGATGCATTTTTCATCCACAGCAGCATAGTTTCAGTTTGAAATTGGGAGACGGGGTATGTGCATCTATCTACTAGAAAGCTGCACCACTGGTGTCTCAGATAGCCAGCATGTGCATGGATGACTGGCAATTAAGATATGTTGAGAGAGAAGAAGAAATGAATGCAGAAGAAATGAATGACACTCGAAGCAGAAATTGGTAGTCAGAATCACTCAGTCACATCCACTTCTTTGAGAGATGTCATCTGATTTTCCCATTTGCCCACTGGAAGCAAAAGAGACATGGAGGGCTAGTGGCCTTTGGGACAATGCATCTGAAGAGTAGCTCACTGCAGAAGAAGCTTACTACAATCTTTTACAAAAACTAGTTGCCATTTAGGAAAATTCACTGCTTACTGGAAGGCCTGATGAACCAGCCATGCAAATGGCAGGTCTTCCCCCTCCAAGTCTGATTGCTACCCAACCTTTCCCAACCTGGATTCCTCCTTCCAGATGTGCTGGGTAGAGAATTCTGGGAGTCATAGTCCCAGCTCATTTGGAAGACACCAGATTGAGGAATCCTACCTTATATTGTATTCTTCAGGTAATTATAAACTTCTGTACCCAGTTATTAATCATGTGTACGGTCATCTGAACTGTTTATTGGTCATGGAGAGGCTCTGTATTTAAGAACATATATTTGTATATGTCTGTGTGTTATGACTAGGGTTCAGCTAGTCTAGGAAGGAAGGAAAATTGGTTGTGGGCTATGTGTGATTCCTTTGGCCTGATGTGAAACTATGTGAATCCATATGAAGTGTACAATGTATTGCCCTGTGCTTCATATTCCAATGATATTGTATGCTTATCCTGTGCCTAACGTGTTACTGTGCCTAACATGTTATTGTGTTTAGAGAATGGGAAGAAGTATGTGAAAATTACAAAAGCAACAGCAATGTCAGATGAATGCAGAAACACATATATACATGTGGGGGGGGGTTGTTTTTTGTTTTTTTGGGGGGGTTGCAATACATGGCCATTATAAATGTTTTGAAAAAATATTGATATGTGCACTGAAGGCAGTTATGCATTACTCCTTGTAAGTGGTATTATCCTGTGTCTTCTTGAACCTCTGATGGAACAACAAATGTTTCCATGCAAGATAAATAAGAGCTTGTGCACGCACACGTTTTGTGGCAATAAGGTCTGAGCCTGCATAAATGGTTGAGAACCTGTTGCTATTTGTGTACAAATAGAGGCATGAAAGGGGAACTGATGAGGAATGAAGATATGATGAGAAGAAGCAGAGTTGTGGAAAGGAAATTTGGTGACAAATGAAAAGGAAAGAAGGGATGAAGGGAGAGGAGTTGGGGGAAAGGGGTAAATTTAAGACAATGGGGCATTCACTAAAGAAAGAGGGAATGTCATGGAGATACGTTTTACAAATAATTTTATGGAGATAAGCATGTTACAAGAATGGAAGAAGGATATGTAGAGATGGATGGAGTCAAGAAAATGGACGGACGTACTTAGGTGAGTGAACGGACTGATGAAACAAGCAGAGATAAAGCTTAGCGGGCCTCCACCTCAGAATTACAACACATACACTTCACGCGCCTCCAGTAACACAGCTTAAAATGAAATATTTCAGGTTCGCACGACCCACCCCCCCCCTTTTCAGCAAATGGCACAGCCACCTGTTTGGAAGCCCGGCGCGACCAAGAAGAGCGTTTTCCACCCCGACAGACAAAAACGCCCGTCGCCAAGAGGCCCCCGCGGTTTTCCTACCGACTGCGCGGCTCGCGGCGGTATCCAGCGCACAGGTCAAGCTCAGCTTTATGGACAGGGCAATCCGAAGCGTTTTGCGCTGAAATAACTCAGGAAGATTGACTTTCTGGCCAGCGGGTATAGGATTACCGCCTCGCTTTCCGCCTTCACCTACGCACCCTCACAATGATCTCCCTGCCTTCCGCCCACCCCAAGTTCGTGCGTGCGTGTGAGCCTTCAGCGCATCCCTTAGCATCAGCCGCGCTTTGATTAGGATGGAAAGCCGACGAGGAAGCGCCCTGCCGGGAGCATAAATCAACACAGCAGCAGACGAGGGCAGTGCTGTGCGCCTCGCTGCGTCGCGTCCCTTTGAATCGCACGTAGACGCCCCGCTTCCCCGTCTCCCTTTCCCGGTCCTCCCAGCCCGGGTGTTCTACCTCTCCCAGTTTCACACTCTCCGGCGATCCGCCTTCTCCTCCGCCCAGCCCGGATCCGCTGCAATCCGGCCTCGTTTACATTCCTTCGGCGTCTCTGCATCCCGCGCGGTTCCCAGCCTGGTGGTGCAGGCGAGTCACTGGGTGGGGCGGCGAAGGGACTGAGCGAGGCGCGTGTGTCTGCGTGGGCAAGCGCGGGCGGGGACCCCAAGCCGGCCCTACATCGCCCCCCAACTCTGGCCTGTCCTCTCTCTCCCGTTCCTCCCACTTACCTGCTGCAAAGTCTTGAGCCCTCTGGAGTTAGCCCATGCCACAGGCTGCTGGCAGCCCCCTTCCCATCCTCTAGCCCGCTCTTTGCCTCTCCAGCCAACCAGCCCGACCCACCTCGCCACGCCTCGCCTGCTGGCTTACTCCACCCTTCTACTTGTCTTCCTTAGGCGTCTCTTCGCCCCTGCCTTGTAAGGCAATAACAGGCGGACGTGGGCTTAGTGGAGTGGCTCGAAATCAAGCGAAGAGGGACACCAGTGGTCATCCTGCAACTGGACTTCCCAGATAAAGACAGCAGGGACCACAGATAGCCAATTTAGACACATCCCTAGAGTAAAACCCCTAAGAGCAGAAGCAGTATATCTCTGAATAATGGGGGATGAAGTAGTGTGGTACTACAAAGAGATTGCCCTACAAATCAGGAAGATAACTAACATTCCTGGCCTTACTTTTATTTAACTCTGGTTTTCTCTGTATCCAACTATACTGTGAATGAGAATAATACCGCAGATCAACATTACAAGATTCTAGTAAGGCATGCAAGATAGTATTTATCTTGTCACATTCTGTGAGATAGGCAGCCATATAAATATGATTTATAAATAAATACATAAATCTATCAAGTAATTTGACCAGCTCTAGAGCAGCCTGGGGCCCTCCAGGTATGCCCTCCAGATTTCAGCTCCCCATAATTCCACAGCTAAACTGGAGACAACCATATTGGGGAAAACTTCTCTAACATATACTATTCTGATAGTTACTAGTGTCTGCTGACAGCAAAATGAGAGAAGGAAAAATTGCTGCCTTCAAGACCTAGGAAACCTGAAGTTTAACAGAATGAAACATGGGATTTTGTTATACTCATCTTCTATTAGCCTTAATAAAGGCTACTTGGAGCATGAAGTTTTCAAGTTCCAACTTCTGAAATTCCAACTAAATAGGAAGTGATCTGGTGACAGAATCAGATGCTGTCAGCTGGGAAGTGTGGTGGGTCAATCGTAGCCAATTTATGTAGAAACTGAGAAAGAAAGGAGGGGGCAACACCCCTCAGTAAGTTGTGGGGCACCCAAAACCATACTCTCCCATTTCCAAAATAGTATCTTCTAGGATGTCACCAATTGCACACTACCAAATTTGTCATTTAGGCCACAAGAAAGTTTCCAACATTAGAAGTGCTCAACCTTTAGCAGGAAGACACAGAAGTGAAGTTTCTTACTTCTGTTCACCTTGGCTTTTTACAAGAAGGAGGGTAGCATGCTTGATTGTCTCCTAAGACCAAATACAATATTAGACTGGATGCAAATCATCAACAAGTGTCAAGACAATTGATAGAATGACATATAGAAATACTGCACTGACCTGGCACTACAAGTTTTAGTGTGATTTTTCTTATATTAGCCTGTTGTTTTGAAAATTAGGTCATTTCTTTCCAATCATTTTAAAATGTCATCCTTATCTTTTAAGGTACTTTTGATTATGTGCCATCAAGATAGACCTTCTCCAGGAGGATCTGTCCCCAACCTTGTCCTTTAGGTCTTCCAATGGTGCACCCATTATTGCTGTAACTGAGTCCATCCACCTTGCTGCTGGTCATCCTTTTCTTCTCTTTCCTTCCACCTTCCTTCTCCAGAGAGCTAGGTCTTTGCATAATGTGTCTGAAGAATGAGCTTGGTCATTTGTGCTTTGAGTGAGAATTCTGAATTGATTTGTTCGATGATCCATTTGTTTGTTTTCTTGGTTATCTATGGTATTCTCAGGAGTCTTCTCCAACGCTAAAATTCAAAAGTGTCAATACTCTTTTTATCCGCCTTCTTCAAAGTATAACTTTCCATAAAGTATCACAGGGATCACCATTGCTAAACAATTCTGTTCTTTGTAGGTATAGACACATCCCAGCATCTGAATATCTTTTCCAAAGCCTTCAAGGCTGCTCTACCAAGTCTATTTCTTGACTGCTGCTTCCTTTACTGTTGATAGTTGATTGTAAAAGACAGGAGCTACCCACCACTTCAGTATTTGCACTGCCAATTCTAAGGCTGGCTGCTGTACCTATTCTCATTAGTTTGGTCTTTTTTACATTTAATCTTACTCCCATTTTTTTCATTGTGCTCTTTGACTTTCATTACTAGACCTTGCAGATCATTTGCATTTATGGGACTACAAGAAACTATTCAATGGCGCTAGATGAGTCACGTCAACAATCTGCACCCAGTTCCATGGAACTTCTGTATGTCTTCAATTGTATTTATTTGTTGGCTTAATTGATATCCTGCTTTCTCCAGGATCAAGTGCCAGCATGTATAATACTTCCTTCTCAATTTTTTCCTACAACACCAACCTTGTCAGAAAAGGTGGCCTAAGAGAAAAGGACAGGCCCAAGATCACACATTAATTCCAGGATTAAGGGTGAACTTGAAACCAAATCTCCCTGATTCTAGTCTCTCACATTAACTACTACATCACCCTGACTTTTTACCAAGAGACCTTTCATTCACCACCAACATTTGCTGCCAGAACTATGTCAGCAAATTTTGGAGGCTAAATTGCTTTAAAACAGTATCTAACTATTTAAAAGAATTAGGATTAAGTGAGAAAAGTTGACAAATAATAATAAAAAAAAGGATGATATATATTGAAGATGAACTAAATGCTACAGAAACATCCTAGCTCTAGTAAGAGATGCTAAGAAGCTACAGACAGGGTGTGATGACAACAGTCCCAGGATCCAGATATGATACACTGCTCCTAAGCATGCTGGGTCCGCTAGATTTGTTGTAGCCAGTCCAGAATGGTAATCAAGAAAATAATAATTGAAATATCCTAGTTGAGACATTGCCGTCCTCCTTAAGGAAGGATGGTGAGGGAAAGGATGTTTGTTGTAGTCATGAGGACAAGGTGGGTTTATAACTAACACTAGATGGCACATTTGCTTCATGGAGCCAGGCAATTACAGTAGATAACCTCACATTACTGAATAGTGAGGCAGACTATGTAAATATAGGATGATGATGATGATGATGATGATGATGATGATGATGAAGATGATGATAATGATGATATCATCTAGTAATGACTTGCATGTGCAGATGGGCCAGCTTCATAAATAAGACATCTTGGACAGAGCATGCCTGTTGCCTAGGCATGAGAACTGGCTTCCTCTCCTTCTGATCCAATATCTCTGTGGCCAGATTGCAGGAGAAAGGGTACTCCACGCCTATTTTTGGAGGCCAGCCTTCCCTAATCTGGTCTTCCCTCTAGATATGTTGCTCTTTAATGCCCCAAATTCCCAGCCATTGGCCATCCCAGACAAATGTTCTGAGATTTGTACAACACACATGTAGGGTCCCAGATGGGGGGAAGGTAGCTATGTGAACCTGGAGCTCCTTTGTATGAAGTTTCTGGACCTTTCAGGCTCCCTCCTCATGTGGAGAAATGTTCCCACCTGAACATCAGGAGCTGTGCAGAGGTTTTTTTCCTCACTGTCTGGAATATGGATTGCAGAGCAGGATTCCCACCAGATATGTAGGCCGTGATCACAGCAAGGACACAGCTAACCACCTGATCCCCCAGCTTTTTCATGGATGACAGGGTTGATGTGAACCATTCAATTTCTTTCCTTGTTTTATCACATTTATAAAGCTTCTTAGCTGCAGAAACACAAGGCTTTTTCTGCATTGCATTCTCAGAGTAGCCCTGTAACATAATTTAGAATGAGATAGGGTGACTGTCTCAAAGTCAGAGAGAATGTTCCATGATCAAGTCATACTTGAACCCTAGATCTTCCTTCTCCCAGTCCATTTCTCTATTAATTCATTAAACCACTATTAATCTATCTCCTGTGAAAAGTTCTAGCTGCTATTGATGGTATAGGAGGAATCAAAAAGTGGGGAGGGGTTACTGGCCAGTTGGCAGAGGAAATGGTTAAAAGCCCTTCACGCTGTAGCTCTGTTCCAATTCAGTCCCTCTGCAACTGCTTTTTTCAGAATCAATGAGAGCTGTAATCCCACTACATCTCCAAGATCTCATCAGCCTCATCCCTAACAAGGGAGGAAGATCTATATATTAGCATGTGTATATATTAAACACTAAAGTACTATGTTATATGAGAACTTATGTGGTATCATGGTTAAGGTACTTAACTGGAAGTGGGGAAACCCTCAATCTCAGAAGCTAATTGGGTGATTTTAGGCCAGTCACTCATTATCACCCCAACCTCCTGCCCAGATGGGGAAAAGCAAGAGCAGAAAGTGCTATTTATGCCACCTTCACTGCTCTACGAAAGGCATGATGTAAATCTAATTAGTAAAGCATAAAATTTTCCACACTGCAGCTAGTGGGATCCAAAACAGCAAAGCTGGATCAAGCCCACAATCCATGAAATCAAGTAATTGCTTTTCCACGCATCAGATTCCCTCATGCATTTATTGTTTAGCCACATCTACAGAGAGAGAGAGGTCTCACAAGCATCTGGTACTCAAGGCCAGCCAAATTATACTGGTACCTGATTCAAACCAAATTTTGCAAGTGCTTGTCCCTGGCAATTAAGTAGAAAAATAATAAATCGTGTAATAACAATGTTCCACCCTTCCACGACTGCCAAAGTCAACTTCTTGAGAACAGCCTCCTCTCCCTTATGTCATGATAGGTCTCAATAGAAGAGAATACATGTAGCTCAGGGTTGAACTGTGGAGTCCTTGGGTTTCTCTGAGCTTGGTTGTTTTCTTGCAGACGTTTTGCTACCCGGCTAGGTAACATATTACCTAGCCAGGTAAGGAAACGTCTGCAAGAAAACAACCAAGCTCAGAGAAACCCAAGGACTCCACATGATAGGTCTGTTCTGTAGAATTACAATGATAGGGAAGAACGATGCACAGTGGTAAAGAGGCCCTTAAGAATGATACTGTGGTCATTCAGTGAGTTCCAGGGATGAATCAAATGTCATGCGTGAAAGAATCTTTGGTTGAGTAACCCTATGCCTCCATACTACTAACTAGTCCAGTCTCTCCTTGTAGGGTGTTTTTCTCATTAAAATTGGCAGAATTATATCTCTATTCCTGATGAATATTTTGTAGTTAGGTGTATCCATTCTAAAAAATTGCTGATCTCCCTTCAG